CTTTTTGCCAATGACTCCCAAACCAATTGGCTTTAGGGCATTAGGTGAAGAGACACCCGTACGAGCATACTTACTCAAGTAACAAAGGCCACAAAACATTTGACTATTTTTCTTTTTTTCTTTTTTTTCTTCAAAGCAGTTTCAACGGATAATTAGACAAGATAGTCATCATAGAAACAATGGCACCTACTCACAAAATGCATGTAATTTCCAACCAAACCATTATAAAATCAAATCTCTCAACTCCTCTCATCAAGGTATTACTAAATTTTGATCCAATCATCAAAGAAAAACCATATCGCTCACTTGCAACATCTATGCAACAAAATATGTATAGACTCATTCGACTATATTCACTCCATGCTAGAAAATTAGATTCACATGCATGCATCCAATACTCTAAATCTTCAAACCACAACAAAAGCAAGAACACAAAAATATCCTCCCCAAACTTAAAATTAACATTGTCCTCAATGTAAAAAATAAATAAATGAGTAAGAGAAGAAAAACAATACTCTCCTATCTTGCTCTTCTTGCTGTAGACATGCAATGTGTTCCTGTAGAGCCAAAAAATCTTGTTGTAGGTGCCTAAGATGTTGCAAGTGCAATAAAAAGCTAACCCAGCCAAAAACTCAATGCGAATTAGTAAAAAGAAAATGAATAAAAGAATTAAATAACTCAATGCAAAACAGAAAAATGTCAAATAACAATTTTTTTTTTTTGATGGGTTGCCTCCCATTAAGCGCATCTTTTCAGTCATTAGCTTGACTATCACTACAAAATGGTCAAGGATCTTTCAATAAAATGGTAGAATTAAATGATAGAAAATTGCCACCTTCAACATAAATTTTCAACCTTTGCCCATTCACCTTAAAAGTTCCCTTAGTATCATGTGAAATTTCAACAACTCCATAAGGAAAAACCTTAGTCACCACAAAAGGACCACTCCATTGTGATTTCAACTTACTTGGAAAAAGTCACAATCAAGAATTGAAAAGAAGAATCTTGTCACCCATGTGAAACTCTTTCTTTTGCACATGTAGATCATGCCATGCCTTGGTTCGTTCCTTGTAGATCTTGGCATTTTCATAGGCAGCAAGTCATAGCTCTTCCAATTCATTCAACTGAAATTTTCTATGTTCACCTGCATCTTTCAAATAAAAATTCAAGTATTTAATAGTCCAATATGCTTTATGCTCAAGTTCCACAAGAAGGTGACAAGCCTTACCAAAAACATATTGGGTTATTAAATACCTATTGGAGTTTTGTAAGCTATCCTATAAGCCCAAAGTGCATCATCTAACTTAAGTGATCAATCTTTCCTAGACAAGTTAACTGTTTTTTCCAAAATTCTTTTCAATTCCCTATTAGACACCTTAACTTGCCCACTTGTTTGGGGGTGATATGGAGTAGCAATTTTATGGGTAACACCATATTTAGCCAATAAATTTTCAAATTGCTTATTACAAAAGTGTTTGCCTCCATCACTAATGACAGCCTTAGGTGTGCCAAATCTAGTGAAAATATTACTCTTCAAAAATTTAACCACCATAGCATCATTAGTAGGACATGCAACAGCTTCTACCCATTTACTCACATAATCTACTACAATAAGAATATACTTCTTACCAAAAGATGAAGGAAAAGGACCCATGAAATTTATGCCCCAAACATCAAATATGTCACACACTAAAATATTAGTCAAAGGCATTTCATGTCTCCTAGAAATATTACCAGTTCTTTGGCATTTGTCACACGCACGCACATAAGCATAAGCATCTTTAAATAAAAAAGGCCAATAAAATCCACATTGCAAAACCTTAGATGCTATTTTGGAGGCACCAAAATGACCACCAACTTCTTTGTCATGACAAAAACTCAAGATTGCATCTACCTCTTCTTGTGGTACACATCTCTGAATCATTCCATCGCCATATATCTTGTAAACAAATGGTTCCTCCCACAAATATTGTTTAATATCAAAAAAGAACTTTTTTTTTTGTTGAAAAGATAAGTTAGTAGGTAAGACATTACTCACAAGATAATTAACAAAATCTGCATACCAAGGTAAAGAAAATAGAGCACACAAAGAAACTAAACACAATTACTCATCTGGAAACTCATCAAGCAAAGGTTGATCATCCCCACATTCCACATGCACTTCATCTAACTTGGACAAATGATCAACAACAAGATTTTCTACACCTTTTCTATCCCTAATTTCTAAGTCAAACTCTTGCAGCAACAAAATCCATCTCAACAACCTAGGTTTGGCATCCTTTTTAGCAAGCAGATATTTAAGTGCAAAATGATTAGTATAAACAATCACCTTGGACAAAATTAGATAAGGCCTAAACTTTTCAAAAGCAAACACAACAGCAACCAACCCTTTTTCAGTAGTAGTGTAAGTCTTTTGAGCATCATTCATTGTCCTAATTGCATAATAAATGGTGTGAAATTTCCTATCTTTTCTTTGTCCCAAAACTGCACCTAAAGCATCATTGCTAGCATCACACATTATCCAAAAAGGCAAATCCCAACAAAGTGCAACAACAATAGGAGCATTAACCAGTTTCTTTTTCAACAATTGAAAAGCATTCATACAATCATCATCAAAGAAGAATGGTGTTTCCTTAACCAAGAGATTAGTAAGAGGCTTAGCAATTTTTGAGAAGTCCTTAATAAATCTCCTATAAAAACCAGCGTGTCCAAGAAAACCTCTAACTTCTTTAATTGACTTAAGAGGTGCAAGCTTTTCAATTATCTCAACTTTAGCTCTATCAACTTCAATACCCTTAGAGGATACTTTATGACCTAGCACTAGACCTTCCCTAACCATAAAATGACATTTTTCCCAATTCAATACTAGGTTAGTTTCCTCGTATCTTCTAAGCACCCTAGACAGATTATGTAAGCACGCATCAAATGAAGAGCCAAAAACTAAAAAATCATCCATAAAATTTTTCATGAACTCATCAACAAATTTAGCAAATAAAGACCTCATACATCTTTGAAACGTAACTGGAGGATTGCACAAACCAAAAAGCATTTGTCTAAAAGCAAAAGTACCATATGGACAGGTAAATGTTTTTTCTTAATCCTCTGGGGCAATAGGAATTTGATGATAACCAGAATAACCATCTGAAAAACAATAATATTCATGTCCAACAGGTTTCTCAATCATTTGATCAATAAATGGCAGTGGAAAATGATCTTTCCTATTAGCTTCATTAAGTTTCCTATAATCTATACACACTCTCCACCTTGTTATTGTTCAAGTGGGAATTAATTCATCATTTTCATTCTTTACCATGGTTGTCCCACCTTTTTTAGGCACTACTTGCACAAAACTTACCCAAGTACTATCAGAGATAGGAAAAATAATACTTGCATCTAACCATTTGATTACCTCCTTTTTTACCACCTCTTGCATGTTAGGATTAAGGCGTCTTTGAGGTTGAACAATCGGCTTGTGCCCTGATGAGTTGAATTTGTACACATATTAATGTGGAATTTTTATCATGATATTGTTGATATTGTGATGAATTTTATGAGATTTTACTTGATTTTACATAATTTTTATTCGTATAGAAAAGGACTTAATTGGAAGAAATCATAAATTTTAGGAGTAAATTGCAAAGATTAAAAACTTGAGGATCAACTTGTGCAGATCCAAAAGCCAGGGACTAGGACTGTAATTTTACCATTACAAAAATTGCTAAGAAGGCCAAAAACCTGAGACAGTGATGGCATTGTGCGCTTAACAGAACTGTCGGTACCTTGTTGAAAGTGTTGACCCCTTATGCAATTTTCACCAAATCCGTGTTTAATTAGGTATTATGGGTGTGGGTCCCACTTCAATTCCAATTAGGGTTTCTAAAATCCTATAAATACCCATCCGAATTCAGAATAAGAAGAGCTTGGTCGAGGTTGGTGGCAGCCCTCTTTTAGGCATTCTTGAAGATTAAGAGAGAGGATTCAACAATAGGAGATCAAGGATTGCAATTTTCTCAAATTGTGTTTTATTCTTCCTTGTTATTCTTATGTTCATAATTATGATTTTAGATTTTAATATATTTATTATGAACTGAATTATTCTACTAAGGCTACAATGTAGCCTAATCAATTCAATATAGATTTTGTGATTTTATGCTTTTAATTAAAGTTATTTGCATGAGGAGTTTATATTATTGAACTTAATGCATTGGAAGCCTAATCATCTTTCAATTGATTTAGTGATTTATGCATGAACTTGAGAAAGAATTGCGTAGATTAGACCAATAATAATATAAATCGTGTGTTAGACTATGAGACTGAGAGGTAATTAGCTCACATGTGGTAGTGGAGGAAGAGAAGAGAGTTAGGAGCTCCCCCTTCTTAAGCTAGAGGTTTCCATAGAATTTAATGTTCATTAGTTTGTTTAAAATTACATAGAGATATGATTAATTTAACAAACAAGTGAATGATTAGCTTGACTTGAGAAAACTAGTTAATTAATTTAAGGAAATCCGCCATCACATGCAATAACACTCAACAATTTAGTAATCGAGAATTTATATTGATTGATTATGGTGAAATAAATGCCTTAGTACCTCATATCTTGATTAGTTTGATTTTAATTATTATTTTCTTTTTATTATTTTTTAATTGAACTTTCTTCCTTTTCGATTGTTCAAATAAATTTGGATTAATTATTTTGGTACTTAGTTAAACACAATCCTCATGGGTTCAACACTCTTCTCATCATTATATTACTTGAAGTGACTAGTACACTTGTTAGGGTGATTTTAGTGCATCAAGTTTTTGGCGTCGTTGCCGGGGATTATTGATTTAATTATAAACAGAATTCTATGCATGCAAACTGAAGGGCTAACTCCTTTGATATCCGCTATGCTCTATCCTATGGCTCCTTTATGTTCTCGCAACACTCTTAAGAGTTTCTCCTCCTCAATTCCTATCAAAGAAGTAGAAATTATTATAGGTAAGGTATTTGCATCACCCAAATAAACATACTTTAATTGAGAATGAAGCAGTTTTAATTTAAGAGTAGAAGGCTCCTCTTTGGATGGCTTTACACTCATAATAGACGGTGCATCTAGGGGTAGAAAATTCCCTTTTTTTTGTGGCTACCTATGGCATTTTTCCCCAAGAATAGTTGCTGCCTCCAAAATGTTATTGTCTGCACTATCAGCTTTCACATCCAAAGCATTAACAATGAAATTATCAATAGGATCATCGAATCTAGAAGCATTAAACTTTTCAGCCACTAAATTATCTACCACATCAATGCTTAAAACAGCATTTCCATCATGACTACAATTTTTCATAGCATCAAACACATTAAAAACAATCTCCTCATCATGTATTCTAAGACTAAGTTTTCCTTGTTGAACATCAATAAGAGCTCTACCAGTAGCAAGGAATGGCCTCCCAAGAATTAAAGGCATTTCAAAATCCTCTTTCATGTCAAGAACAATAAAATCAACAGGGAAAATAAATTGATCAACTTTTACCAAAACATCCTCTACCACTCCTCTTAGATATTTAATGCTCCTATTTGCCAATTGAAGAGAAACTGTGGTAGGTGAAGGTTCTCCTAATCCAAGTTTCCTAAATACATGAAAAGGCATCAAATTAATACTAGCTCCCAAATCACATAAAGCCTTATCAAAATTAACATTGAAAATAATACAAGGTATAGAAAACTCCCTAGATCCTTCAACTTAGGAGGTAACTTATTCTGAAGAATGGCAAAGCATTCTTCATTTAACTTCACCATCTCGAACTCCTCTAACTTCCTTTTATTGGCAAGGATCTCTTTCAAAAATTTTGCATAGCTTGGCATCTGTGAAATAGCATCAATAAGAGGAATATTAATATGTAACTTTTTAAACACCTCTAAAAATTTAGAAAACTGCTTGTCTAAATTAGCTTGCAAAAATCTGAGGAAAAGGGATTTTGGGCTTATAAGGCTTGACATTCGGGTTATGAAAAAGTCTTTTAGGCTCCTCCTCTTGCTTCGATTCACTAGCTTCCACACCTTCTTCTTTCCCATCAGATTGTCCTACCTCTTTAAGTTCTTTTCCACTCCTCAAAGTGATAGCCTTCAATTGCTCCCTTGGATTCTTTTCACTATTTGCTTGGCAAACCCCCTTAAACTCTTCTAGAAACCATATCAGCAATCTGTCCAAGTTGCATTTCTATATTTTGAATAGTAGCATCTTGATTTTGAAACCTTATTTCTTGGTTTTGAAACCGTGCTTCTGTACTACTAACAAATTTGTGCACCAACTCCTCTAAATTTGGTTTCTTTTCTTGCTAATTTTGTTATTGAAAACCTGGTGGTAATCTGACTTGATTATTACTCCATGAAAAATTAGGATGGCTCCTGTCACGCCCCAGAACCCAAATCCGAGGCGTGATAGACGCCGTGCACTCGTGAGACGGGTCCCACAAATGCACAAGGCTCGGAACTTATCACACCACGATCTGATACCATCAAAATCTGAAGATCAAATCTTTAAAAATTTTCTGATATCATAAAATCTCCAAATACACTCTAGCTTACAAGATCATGATTTATTTCTAAAATCTATATCAATTGCGAAATGGCTAGCTTTCTAACTCGTCACTTCCCGTGGTTTCCCCGTCCTCGGTTTCACTTCCTGAAATGGTGGACAAGGAAAAACTATAAGATAAACTCAGTAAGTAAAATATGGAGTGCCCTTAATTAAACTTGTAGCATGCCAACAAGTACAATCACGAAAACAGATACGGTACGAGAACGAAATAGACGTCTCCTCTATAGGTCATGGCTAGTGTTTAAACCTCCCACTGGCAGGCAACAGGAATTGCTAGTGTTTAACTCCCACTAGCAGGATTACAGGAATGAACCGGTTCTATCAGGAACATGTCGACATGTGCTAGCGTTTGACCTCCCACTAGCGGGCAACAGGATAACATGACCGTATCGGAGACAAAACAGGCAGAAGTTAACAGAAAATTCATAATTCACTAATCACTTTCAAATCATCGGGACAATCAATTAAATTTCAAGTAGGCATGCTCAATTTAATGAAAAGCATAAGACATTTCACTTCAAATCAGTCATATTTGTGTAAAACGGGTTTAGTCCCGCCACCACTTCAAAAACAAATCAAAACATGCTTTTAAAACAGTACGGGCATTACCATAAATTTACTTACCTCACTCGCATAAAACCGAGCACTCAATCCACGTACTAAACTGACAGAACGATCAAGAACCTAATCAAGATACCCAATAATTAATTATCGCACTATCATAAATTCAAACTGAAATCATCATTAAGATCATTCCTAATCACAATGCTATTCCTATCAATCTCCACATGATCAAATATCTCCAAATTCGTTCTTATATCACAAGCTAATCACTTAAATTCCCGTTAAATGTTGGCCCTTGGGGTGTGAACAGTAACCGGTGAACAGTGCCGGTGAACAGTGGCCCCGACGTGAACAGTAACTCCACTTCCACAAATTGGCCAAAACACTAACTAATCTCACGGGATTTTCCTCCAAAAATCAAATAGCAGTCCATTAACACTCAATCATATAAATTCTACTTGAATCAAGCTAAATCATGGTCTAATTACTATCAATTTCTCCCCTATTTTTCTGTCAAATTCGAACAACACAGCCAACAAACTAAATGGCTAATTTAAGCCTTAAAAGGGTTGTCACATACCATAATTTAGCAAGCAAAACCGAGCTGCAGTTTGGGAGAGAAGCCGGCGGCAAGTGCAGGGAAGAATCACGTAATCTACCCAAAAAATGGGAGGAACAAGAGCAATTAAGGCAAACCCAAGGCAATTAAAGCTAGAGAAGGGGAATTTCGAGCTATTTCTTACCAAAAAACCGAGCAATTCACACCCCACAAGCAAGAGCAGCCGGCGGACAGGGGAGGAAGGACAGAGCAGATCCGGAAGCTTCCTGCAGGGGGAGATTTCTGGGTTCCAAATCAGGTTCTAGAACAAGAAAAGAAGGGAAAATCATCAAGCTTTACCGGTTTCTCAAAGGCATGGCTGGGTTCTCTTTCTTTTTCTTCTTTCGAGTGGCTGCAGCGGGAAGAAAGGAGAAGAAGAGCAAAATTGGGCAAGGCTGGGAAGAAAAGAAAGAAAGAAAAGGAAAAAGAAAAGAAGTCATCCTTATCCAAAATCTTTCCCTCTTTAAGTCCCTCAACTTTGGAAATATTCACATTAAGCCCCAAAACAATCTTTTCTCACAATTAAGTCCCTAACTTACACTTATATTCCCAAAAATTCGGGATATTACAGCTCCTCCATCCTGAATTGTTGGTATTGGAGTATGGATTAAAATTAGACCTACCACTAGAAGAAACAAAATTAGCTTGCTCATTAGAAGATTGAACTGAATTACCTACTTAACATTCAACATTAGCATGACCAAATTGCCCGACTATTAGATGAAATACTCATTGCTGATGCTCCTAAGCTATCTAACTTTTTATTCAAAACAGAAATTTGAGCAGATAAGGAAGTAAATGCATCAACATTATGTAAACCAACTCCCTTTTTGGTAGCTCTATTATTAGTCCATTGATAGCTATTAGAGGCCATTTCGTCCAACAGCTTATAACCTTCCTCCATTGTTTTATTCATAAGATTACCCCCTGTAGCTACATCAATTATAGAACAATTAGGAGGAGTCATACCATTATAAAAAGTTTGCATTTGGAGCCAAACAAGTAAACCATGATTTGGACATTACCTAAACAATTCCTTAAATCTTTCCCATGCCTCATATAATGACTCATATCAAATTGAACAAAAGTAGTAATGTCATTTCTCATCTTAGCTGTTTTTGAAAAAGGAAAAAATTTATCTAAGAATTTTTCTACCAAAACATCCCATATGGTAAAATGACCTGCAGGAAAAGATTTAAGCCAACTCTTGGCTTTATCACGCAAAGAGAATGGGACTAATGTAAGCCTAACAGCATCATTACTAACACCATTATACTTAAAAGTATCACAAATTTCAAGAAAATTAGTAATATGCAAATAAGTATTTTCATTAGGCAAACCATTATATTGAATAGTTTGTTGGACCATTTGAATGATAGATGGTTTGATTTCAAAATTATTGGCTTGAATCGCTGGCTTCCTAATGTTGGATGCTATTCCTTCAATGGATGGGGTGGCATACGAACCAAGAGTGCGTGCATTATTTTGTCCTCCGCCTTCTTCTGCCATGATGCTCTGCTTTTGCTTTCTTAAAAACTCCCTAAAAGTTCTCTCAATTTCAGGGTCAAATGGGACAAGGTCACCACCTCTACTACGGGTCATGCACTACTATCCTCACAATATATATATATATACTAAGATAAATAAAAAATAAAAACAAAAAAACAAATTAGACTATAAAATGTGCAAATCAACAACTAATTGCTTAAAACAAAAAGAACCAACTAATCAAGTCTACAAAAAGAAAAAAAAAACTGTTATTTGACATTTTTCTGTTTTGCATTGAGTTTTTTAATTCTTTTATTCATTTTCTTTTTACTAATTCGCGTTGAGTTTTTGGTTGGGTTAGCTTTTTATTGCACTTGCAGCATCTTAGGCACCTACAACAAGATTTTTTGGCTCTACAAGAACACATTGCATGTCTACAATAGGAAGAGCAAAATAGGGGAGTATTGTTTTTCTTCTCTTATTCATTTATTTGTTTTTTACATTGAGGACAATGTTAATTTTAAGTTTGGGGAAGGATATTTTTGTGTTCTTGCTTTTGTTGTGGTTTGAAGATTTAGAGTATTGGATGCATGCGTCTGAATCTAATTTTCTAGCATGGAGTGAATATAGTCAAATGAGGCTATGCATATTTTGTTGCACAGATGTTGCAAGTGAGGGATACTGTTTTTATTTGATGATTGGGTCAAAATTTAGTAATACCTTGATGAGAGGAGTTGAGAGTTTTGATTTTATAATGGTTTGGTTGGAAATTACATGCATTTTGTGAATAGGTGCCATTGTTTCTGTGATGACTATCCTGTCTAATTATCCCTTGAAACTGCTTTTAAGAAAAAAGAAGAAGAAGAAGAAGAAGAAAAATAGTCAAATGTTTTGTGGCCTTTGTTACTTGAGTAAGTATGCTCGTAGAGGTGTCTCTTCACCTAATGCCCTAAAGCCAATTGGTTTGGGAGTCATTGGCAAAAAGCTCATTACATGGTAACTTAGAAAGCCTAAAGAAACTTGACAAGAAGAAAAAGGGGATAAGCCAGCACACAAAAGAGTTTGATAATTTCTACTCCAATGTTTCTAAGTGCTTAGTAACTGGGGGTTAGGCATGAGACCATGTCAACTTTCACGTCAAACGGTAACTTGAAATATGAGTATGCAAAGCACTTTGAATTTGTGACTTATTGAGTAACCGGGTGCTTTCATCACAAATGTTAGTGTTCGTGTCAAAAGATGAATGATAGCTCAAGGAAGATTGTGATGTATGGCTGAAAAAAAAAAAAAGAAAAAAAGAGAAGAAAAAAAGGGGGTAATTACATGGTATGGTTGTTACATGTTTCAATGATGCTTATTACAACTTTGCATGGATTTATTTAAAGATATTCATGAATATGAAGGTGATAGTCATCAACTCCCTTGCTTGGTATTATTGAAATTTGAACTAAAAATCGAGTTGAATGTTGATGCTCCTTGTGTTATCTGTGTGGGGAAGAATGTATGTGAGCTCTAGTTTTTTCTAGCTTTCTTTTGCTTTAGGACAAGCAAGAATTTAAGTTTGGGGGTATTTGATGAGTTTAATTTTGATATGCATTTATCTACCCTTTTTGAGCTTAGAATTTAATTTTATGGGTCAGTTGTAACTTAGTTTCACCTTGGTTTACATTAATTTCATTGTTTGTAGGTGAAAATTAAGATAGGAATTAATTTTTCAATAAGTGGCAATTTACATAAGTTGTAGTAATTTAACCGTATCTTTTTCTTTAGGCATCGGATTGAGATGATTCTTGAGGCCTTGGAAAGCTAAGAAGCAGAGCTACAATTGATCTTTTATGAGCTCAACCCAATTCTATTTGTATCAATACAGTTTTTTAGTTGAATTGCATGATTCGACATTGGACAAATTGCAAAAAATAAAGAGAATTGGGCTGTGTTGCCAAGGTGTGGGCCGACAACATTTCAGGCCCAAAATAAAGCCCATGTCTGCTAGGGCTAAGAAGAAATAGGGGTTTCTAATTCTTTATATATATATGCTGCTTGGCACACTAAAAAAGGGAGAAAAGAAGAAGCCCCGAAATTGCTCTACACATAGGAGAAAGCTAAAAAACCCAAATTAGTCCGTAGAAAGTGACCGCCCAATCTATTGGCATCTACTCAAAGAGACAGCCCCACAACCGAATCTGCTCTGCACAAAAGGGAGGATGCCCACCCAGATCTGTTCGTGAAAGAGGTAACGCTATCGACCAACCTCTATTCTTCTTCACCAGCTTTGTTTGGGAGGGACAGCAACACGAGTTTGGCTTGTTCTTCATTGGATGGGTGTTGTTGATTCTTAACTTGAATTTTTTTTATCATGATTGTCTACTGGGATTATTGAATTTTGGCTGTTGAGAACATAAATATTTGTGGCTAGATTTCTTTGAACTAGGGATGGATGGATTTTAATTTTTGGATTATGTGATTGTTTTTCTTAGTTAATTCAAGATTTATTAGTTATTTGCATGATGAGTTTCTGTTATTGAGCTTAATGCATTGAGAGCCTGATCACCTTTCAATTGATTTAGTGATTTATGCATGAACTTGATAAAGAATTGCATAAATTAGACCAATAATAATATAAATCGTGTGTTAGACTATGAAACCAAGAGGTAATTAGCTCACATGTGATAGTAGAGGAAGAGAAGAGAGTTAGTAGCTCCCCCTTTTTAAGCTAGAGGTTTCCATAGAATTTAATGCTCATTAGTTTGTTTAAAATTATATAGAGATATGATTAATTTAGCAAACCAATGAAGGATTAACTTGACTTGAGAAAGCTAGTTAATTAATTTAGGGAAATCCGCCATCTCATGTGATAACACTATTATTTGAATTTGAATTAAATTAGTTAAATAGTTGCATAATTCAGAATTAAATGAAATCTAAGCTCTAGTTTTTTCCCATTCATAGTTTCTTAACTTAGAAAATTCGTTTAGTTAAATTCTTTTAGTTTAAGTAGTTTTCTTTTAAATAGTTTAGTTTTACCCCATTAATTGGTTAATTCAACTTAGATTAGATTAATATTGTCTTGGTAGTGTAGGATAGTTCTCGAGGGAATGATATCTTACTCATCTTATACTGCATAATCGATTAGGTTCACTTGCCTAAAAGTAGTGCGTATTTGGTGCATCATCCACCAAGAGTGATGAAGCATCAAAAGGTAACCATAAGTCCAACCATGAGAATGGCGATGTAGATGATGGAATGTTTAATGTCGAAGTTGGCATAAAAAGTTGCGTTAGAAAGAAAGGCTTGCCATACTTAGCTACAGCTTTAGAAGAATCCATTCCCAGCGAAGATGAGATAGATGTTGACGAACCAGCCATGAGTATATCAAAGAAGGCTATTAGCTCTAGAAAAATCATGTCTAAGGACAAGTCCTCCTCGGTTCCAGCCAAGTTGAGTGATATAAATGACATGTGTGGTGAGGCTAAGAAAGTAATGATTGAGAATGCCTTTATAAATCTTTGTGTGGCTATGAGGCGCATGGAAGTAACTCCCTTTGTTGAGATGGATGAGGAATTCTTTCATTGGTGTAAGGATGTTATAGATGATGCCAAGAACATAAACTTTAAAGTTGGAGCTACTTGAGCTAGCGAAGGCAAACCTTGGCAAAGTTAGGTTCAACATGGCTAGGAGTGGCATGTCTGGCAACTGGGATGAGCAAATTGACAAGCAGGCAAAGTATGTTGAAAATGTGCAAAAATCCTTGGTTAATATAAAAAGAGTTTATGCTTAAGCTAGAGGTCATGTTGAAATCAATTGAGGCACATCTGAAATTACTCAGTGAAGAGAAAAAGCGCCTGAGTTCCAACGAAGTCGCCTAGCGAAGTTGCCCAACGAAGTCGCCTAGCAAAGTTGCCTAGCGAAGTCACCTAATGAAGTTGCCCAGATAGGTCACCCACTTTGTCAGAATTGTGTTGAAACAACCAATAGTTATGGCAATGAGCCTAGTCCATTTGTTTTATGAGCAGCCATGTTCTTCAACCCCCAGTGTTGATGCACTTCATCAAAGTAGCAAAAGTACTGACCAAGTGTAAGAATACCATTGGCAAGAAATACTAGCCATAGAAGAACACTCCATTAGCAAGTTGAGGATGACGTAAATGCAGCGAGTCTTAAAGAGGCACCAATATTAGCCATGAAAGATAATATTGCCAATAGGTCTTGAAGAGTTACTAATACTCGTCATAAAAGATAATATCGCTAGTAAGCCTTGTAGAGGCACTAATACCGACCATGAAAGATAATATAGCTAGCAGGTCTTGAAAAGTCACTAATATTGGTCATGGAAGATAACATTGCCAGCAGACCTCTGTCATAACTCAAATTTTTAATAGAAACTTATTTTTATTTTTATTTTTATTTTAGCCTTTTTTTAATTTTAACTAATATGTTTTATCTTTGTTTGCCTTGTTAGGTTTTGGAGCAAAAAAGGGGGATTTTTGAAAAGAAAATTGGAAAAGGGAGACCGAAGAAATTAAGATGAGGGACTTAATTAAAGAGATGGAAAATTGGATGGGTGAAATGCAATTAAAACTAGGTTTAAGTACCATTTTGGTCCCTCAACTTTGCACTTTGGTACCCAAATTGTCCCTCAACTTAAAAAAGTACCAAAATTATCCTTGAACTTTCATTTTTGGTACCAAAATGGTCCTTCCGTCAGTTAAACGCCAGGTGGCCCGTTAAAATGCCAGCAAATCAATTCTTTTTTTTTACTTAACTAATGACATGGAAAAGAAAAACATAGTTGGCGTTTTTTTTATGAGTTGGCATTTTCATTTAATTTAAAAATAATAATTCATTTTTTTTCACCCACGTCAGATTTCTTCCTCCTCCTTCATTTTCTTTCTCCTTTACCTTTCCTTTTCTCTTACCTCTGCAAACCCAAGCCTTGGGTTTTCTCAAACAACCGAGAAGCAAATGAGATCGTCGTCATCAACAACAACGAGTACAACGCCGGCGCACTCGATACCTCTGCAAATCCAGGCCAATCCTTCTGCTACTACTGCTGCCGGCCTTTTTCTTCTCCTGTCAAACCCAGATATGGGTTTTTCTCAAACCCAGATTCCCCCGTGAACTGCTTGGTGGGAAGGGCGGGGTTTGGTTGGTCCTTCAACTGTTGGAGTTCGGCTTCATGTTCTTCAGCGTCGAGCGCCCAGGCGCTAGGCTTGCCCCATGGAGATGAGACGGTTACCACCATTGTCAATTCGCTCTAAGCTTTCACCTTGGGTTCGATCCTGTCTGCTCCGAGTTTGTGTTTGTTAGAAGCAGGAACCGCTTGAGAGAGAACCCAGAATGGCCCCTCTGCAAACCCAGATTTATTCTATATTTATCTCCCTCTCTGATTTATCTCTTACTCATTATTTTGAATTCTCGGCCATAATTCCGATTTGATTTCAATTCAACGTTTCTTGCAATTTCATAGCTTGATTTTCGCTTTTCTATCCCCATTGTTGCATATTGAGAGCTTGCGTTGAAGTAGGTAGCAAGATTTGATTTTTCATTCTGTTCATTAGAGTTTTCTCCTACCCACGCTAATCTGGGTTTGCTCTAAATTAGTGCTTTTTTGGGATTTAGTGTGTTTTCCCTTCTGCTGTTTATCTTGGAGCAGATAGTCTTATCGAGGTTTTGCTCCAAAAAAAGTTCGATCCTTTGTGGATTTTAAAGGATATTTTGGTGTCTCTAGGAAGTGGGTTGCAGTTTGTGGAAGCTTTCAAGGATATGTGTTTGTGAAGTTCGTGTTCTACTGGTGTTAGGTATTTATTGGTGGGTGATTTTATGAGCTGCTTGCGAGCTTA